CTGGAGGATACGAGAACAAAACAGGGGTTTATGGGACTATTTACACATATTTACAGAAAAGAAGGGATAGTGGTTTCCCAAACCACGAGCGTGGTGGTTAAACGATACATAGTTCAGAGCGACGTCCAGCACTCTGCGGCGTCGTTTTATGCCCTGTCGGGCTCTTTCTCTCCGAGTCGAACACCAATCACGCACACACAGGTGAGGGGGGCGAGCATGCCCGGTCCACGTGAACACTGCACTGTGGTGGCGCCAGCAGGGCTCTTCCTCGTCGTGTGTGTGCCGTTTGTCGAGAGTTCCCAACCGCACGGCTCGCCCAATCAGCGGGGCGATCTGCGGTGTCCGTCGCGGTCTCTTTCAGGAAGACGCCGTCCCTGTTGCCCTCTTTCATCGTGGCGTCGCGGCGCCACGACGTCTCTTCCTATGGCCAGAAGGAACAATGCCTGGCGGGCATAGGCAGTCGGCCGGTCGGCTACTTGACCGACGATTAAAGAAGCGCCGCTCCGCCGTCAACTCTGTCGCTGGTCACGCCAGCTTTCCCGTTGCCGGATGAGTCGCCGAGTCGATTAGTCACTGCTTCTGCTTGAACGGACGACAAAAGGGTCCGCATTTGAAGGACGGGAACTCGCCTTTGCTTGCTGCTTGGTCTGGATAATTGCTCAAATCTTCGACGGCGTCTGTCAGACTGGGCGCCGAAGGGATTGAGAGCCTCACCAGTGGATCGGCTTACGCACAAACGCGTCTGCTCAGATGAATCTCCAGGCCAAACCTAACAAAACCAAGTCTGTCGTACTGGCAGACATGGTGTGTTTAGGTTGTATAAGAGGGACAATTAATCAGCTGCCCGCTCATAATAAGTTCACGTGCTACGTGACGCCAAACATGCGCATAAGAGTGTTTTCACACTCGTCGTTTGGCTTATAGATGGCGCTGACTGTCACTGCTACTTGTAAATTAACATATAAACCCAAAAAAGTGGATGGAGGGGAGGCCGCTGTGATAGCTCAGTGGTTAGAGCATCGAACGCGTTATTCGAAGGTTGTAGGTTCGATTCCTGCTCACAGCTGGTAATTTTTTCATCCACTTTTCTTTCTTCTTATTTACATTCCATTGGTTCTAATACCTTCCCCTGTATATTCCTTGGCATTACTGTCTGTTAGAGCGCTATATTATTGTGTTAAAACACGGAAAAAACGAGCCCTTAGGTATACACTTCTTTCCATTATTTCATTGAACGAGGGTCTCGTAATGGCAGACTTGGTGTGTTTAGGTTGTATAAGAAGGACAAATACTCAGCTGCCCACTAATATTAAGTTCACGTGCTACGTGACGCCAAACATGCGCATAAGAGTGTTTCCACACTCGTCGTTTGGCTTATAGATGGCGCTGACTGTCACTCCTACTTCTAAATTCACATATAAACCCAAAAAAGTGGATATAGAGAACGCCGCTGTGATAGCTCAGTGGTTAGAGCATCGAACGCGTTATTCGAAGGTTGTAGGTTCGATTCCTGCTCACGGCTGGTTACTTTTTTATCCACTTTTCTTTTTCTTTCTTTTTATTCACATTCTATTGGTTCTAATAACTTCCCCTGTACATTCCTTGGCATTACTGTCTGTTAGATCTCATTAATAATGTGTTAAAACACGGAAAAACGAGCCCTTAGTTGTACACTACTTTCCCTTATTTCATTGAACGAGGGTCTCGTACTGGCATCCTTGGTGTGTTTAGGTGTTATAAGAGGGACAATTAATCAGCTGCCCGCTCATAATAAGTTCACGTGCTACGTGACGCCAAACATGCGCATAAGAGTGTTTTCACACTCGTCATTTGGCTTATAGATGGCGCTGACTGTCACTCCTACTTCTAAATTCACATATAAATCCAAAAACATGGATGGAGGGAAGGCCGCTGTGATAGCTCAGTGGTTAGAGCATCGAACGCGTTATTCGAAGGTCGTAGGTTTGATTCCTGCTCACGGCTGGTTATCTTTTCATCCACTTTTCTTCTTTCTTCTTATTCACATTTCATTGGTTTTAATAACTTCCCCTGTACATTCCTTGGCATTACTCTCTGTTAGATCTAATTATATTGTGTTAAGACACGGAAAAACGAGCCCTTAGGTATACACTTCTTTCCTTTATTTCATATATATATATATATATATATATATATATATATAGTGTGGGCATTTGTTACTTACATCGTCATCATCCCTACATTATCACAATCACCATCATCAGCTTGTCACTTTGTCCTCATTGCCACTCTGGGTCATCATCATCGTCATCGTCTGTGTACCGGCTCTGCCCTTTCGTTTTTCGAGGTCCTTCCTCAAATGAACGCTGACGCAGCTAAGACTACCAAGACTTCATACGTGGTGGAGGTGCTGGGTACTGGCAGATCCCCATGCATAAAGACGATAGGGAGAAAACGGCATTCGCAACTCCCGACGGGCTATATAAGTTCGACGTGATGCCTTTCGGGCTCTGCAACGCATCCACGACTTTTGAGCGCATGATATATATATATATATATATATATATATATATATATATATATATATATATATATATATATATATATATATATATATATATATATATATATATATACATATATATATATATATAATATATATATATATATATATTGTTCATTGAATGTCGCAGGTGCGGTTCCTGCTCACGGCAAGTTATCTTTCACCCCCTTTTCTTTCTTCACAGTTACATTACCATTCGATCTAATAACTTCCCCTATACTTGGCATTATTGTCTTTTAGATCTCATTATATTGCGTGCGTGATGTAAATAAGAAGAAAAGTGGGAGAAAAATTAACTTGCCGTGAGTAGGAATCGAACCTACGGCCTTCGAATGAACGAACGCACAGACAGATGCATGGACGGACGCACGGATGAACGTGCGGACGCACGAACAGCCGCACGCATGGACGGACGCACAGACGGTCCCACAGACGGACGGAAGCAAGAACGAATGGACGGACGAATGCTTCGCTCCACTCTCCATCATTCACCCCGTGGATATGCTGTCTTTTTTTTTTCACACATCATCATGCCGCGTCATCACGCGCCACGACCAGGACGCTACGCTTCCCTTAGCTGTGTCAGCACAAGACATATCGTTCGGACTCGTGTACACATGAAGAATAAACGTGCCAAGGCTGCATATTTGGGGTACATCGGATATGCTACAGCTATATATGCCTGGAAGGCTGCTTTATTGCAGCAGTTGGAGCGAATGAAGCGCGACTCGCGAGTACCTGAATATGGGGCCCCACCCGACGAACTACCGTCGCCTGCAGGGCTGCACCTATATTAAGCACAAACGACCAACATTACAAATAATAAATGTTTATTGTACCTCAGCTCGAGAGCGCAGTATAAAAATAAGTAGACATCTCTCACTGCACGCTGATCACTCATGGTAGATACAGAGAGAGAACGCGTCCCCACTTCTGCAACGCGCGGATAATTCAGTTAATTACGTCGCACACACACTCGCGAACAAGTTCATCGCACACGCACTCGCGAAATGCATCGCCAATGTAGCTCACGCACTCGCAAAATGCACCGCGGACAACACCACACCCTCACGGAGAAGCCACAACTACAGGAGACATTTCTCTGCCAATTTTGGCGGCAGTGTGGCAACAGCGACCCCAAAATCTGCCAACTGGGGTATGAGACGCCAAACAGAACCTTGCTGGACGTTTCGCCGCACACGCACTCGCGAAATGCACGGCGGAAGACACGTTGCTGAATCCCTTCCTCTGAGACACGATCTCTTACTTTTACAGCAGCACACACAGCAAGAGAACGTGCCCCGACTTCTGCAACACGCGTTGTATGTTCATTTCGGTAATTAAAACGGCCAACGTCGCTCACGCACTCGCGAAAGGCACCGTGGACGACACCACACCCACACGAAGAAACCACAACTACAGGGACATATTTCTTTGGCAAATCTGGCGGCAGTCTGGCAGGAACCACCCCAATGTCCGGCAACTGGGGTATGCAACGCCAAAGGGAGCCTTGCCAAATCCTCGACATCAAGACGGTTTCTTTGAACACCACTACTGAAAGTTTTCTGCGGAATTCTCTCTGCCGAACGACTTCGATAACACTAACAACGCGCCACTCACCACACACAACAACAACAAGGCATCACTCATCTGGGCGCGGAGAACAATTCGCTCTGAAACCCTGGAAGAAGCGAATCGCTTGAAGTGTGCTGCCATCTATCAAAGAACCTAAAAATCAAGCAGCGCAGCATTAACCAAAGTTTGGAAGAGCAAATCGCGACCTTGCGCTACATACCGAGAACAATGAATGTTATGTGATTTATGCACTACGAAATCACTGGTGAATGCTATAGACACGTAAAACAAGGTAATTTTCAGATGCAAAGATCAGACAATAATACTTAACTATCCAAAATGGCTCCGAAATTCTGGAAGAACTGATATGTGCACTCTGCTTGCTATATGATCGAACGTGCGAGTTGCCTTGTGTAATCACGAAAGCTTCCCGTCTCGCAAGAACGAATTGAATTTATCGTGTCACGGCTGGTCCAGCATATTTACTGACGCAGGAATAGTAAAACGTGGTTTGTGTTCGTTTCCTGCTAACGCGTTAACACTGAGGCTAGCACAGCCGAACAAAGGAACGTTTGCTACTGATCATCCTCGAGAGGACGCTCCTAAATATCGCCAGGCGGCGCGACAGTCTATGAACATTGCGAATACGGGGTGACTGGTATGTACCATACGTGTCTGGAGGAGGTGGTGTGACGTCGTACGCGACGGGATTTACACGTTGTTCATGTTACGACGAGAATGTCATAATCACCAAACCCTTTTACCTTCCCATACTGATTTTGGTCTACCGCAAGTGATGATAGATAGATAGAGGTAAGCAAAGTATTTCGTATGCAATGTTTGATTTAGTACTCATAATTACACCGTAGGAGAGCGCACTTACCGTTCCGACTGCCCTTCACTGGTCGAAAGTGTCACCGCCTTGTCTTTGTTGCGAATAATCCAGCGGAGTAGACATTCTGCCGGTGTCAGGCTAATCCAATTGACGTGCGGTGTTTTCGCGTATCCGTCGTTCAGGTTCCACATGGGACAAAACGGAATCTGCCTTCGCAGGTACCTCTTTGCACCGTCTCCATCCACGAACTTGAAGTCCTCACCGTCTTGAAGTAGAGAGTAGTGCCCAATTTCACGAGGCAGGGCGTATCTGGGTGTGTCGTCTCGACGCGACGAGAACGCTTCACACACGGACATTGCCGCAACTTCTTCTCCAGCTGGATCGCCACAGAAAACGTGATAACGAGGGTCCATCGCAGTACTACTGCAACAACTTTCCATCTTGAAACTGCGGCTGACGCCGCTCCCTTCAACGAAGCGCGTACACGAGGCGCATTCACGCAACTACCGAGCAAATCTCTGCGGGGCGGTAAGACGGCAGAGATAACGCGCGTGGAGTTTCGGCACATGTATTCATGCGCGAAATAGTCCGGAGGAGTGTAGAGCGTGTTACGGTTTCTTTTTTTTTTTTCCTCAGCGTTGTCTACTGGCTCTGCACCTATAAGGAAAGGCGCATTTTCATCGGTTTAGATAAAGTGGAATAGGTGTTTATAAGCCACTCCGCTGTTTCTATATAGAGTCAGTAAAACTGATTGATTGATATGTGGGGTTTAACGTCCCAAAAGAGTCAGTAAAACTACCGCAAATATTTTGAGGGAATAAATAAGCACTTCTCGACGATGTTCAGGATTAGGCGACGATTGCAGGGCCCTGCCTTTCGTTTCATTGCATTGACAGTATACCACTCTTCTGAAAATAGTACGAACATGTTGCAGTTATTTTCGACAGTGCACTTGAGTACATTTCTTTAATGGCCGCTCAAACTTTTGGCGGAGATGCAATGTTGTTGAACTTAGACGAAATGTCACGCCTTCACAGCGCGCTACGTGTTCGCTGAAGCCGAGTGGCGCGCTCTCATGGGCTGCCGAAATAATCATCATTTCACTCTCGATCTACATTCACTTTCGCGCCAGCAATGTCTCGCGGGCATGAACTACGCATATGTGCGCTCGCCTTTATACACATTATTACCACAAAAATGAAAACTAGAGTCTCGTGTTTTCTGATTACTATCAAAACCACGCATGTCATACGGTCTCCCCACCTTGCGCGTTGCCTCACATGTGATGACACATGCATTATGTACTTTATCTGATGAAATTAACAAAAAGTAAGTTAAACCTCTTCGTCACGGCAACCGGCATTGCACGAAAGTAATGCCTGTCCTTGTCGAAATAGTTGAATTTTTACTGTGCATTGATATATGAAACTTGCACAATTACTTTTGTTGTTTGGCTGCTATTGCACCGTTACCTCGGAGGCAATCAGCTGAACGCGCGGTGGATACATCTTCATTCCGGCGACTAATGTTCATTACTCATGCTTAAACAAACCATTGTGGTAACTTTAGTACTTAACGGGTAATCATTGAACGCTGTGTGACAAAAGAGCGTCGCCGACTGTATGGAGATGCTGGGCTAAGGCCACCATCTTATATGGATTTTAAAAAGGTATATTGACACCACGGCTGGACTTGGAGCAAAACGCAACGCGCCCGTGTTTTCCTTATTGCCCCATCTGCGATTTAAGTCGACGCGAGCGCAAGCGAGTAACAGTTGTTACAGCCAGACTAAGAAAAAAAAATGATCAAAAGAGGGTTATATCATGCTCATTCTCTTCGGGTACTGACTTGGAAATCAGACACACAAAAAGAGAGTTGCCATTTCTAAGGAGTGACAGAAACCTCCTCGAAGCGCGCTTCAATTGCCTCTCGTGTCGAAGCCTCGAAGGCGTCGCTGTATACGCCGCACGCATCCCGCCTTTGCCGTTCGGCGTCGTTCTGGCTGGCTCCCGCTCACCCCGGCGACGGGATGTCGCGTATCGCCGCCGGTGTGGCGCCTTCGCCTCCGCCTGCCCTCTCTTTATCTCCTCTGTCTAATGCGTTTTGTTGGTTGCGTTCGTCCCGTGTCTAGTTGCTCCCTGTTTCGAGTGCACATGCGCATCATCCGGGTTGGTCGCGCCAGGCTCCGTGCTCGAATTCACGCATGGGGTAAGAAATATTCATGAAGCTTCGGACACGGACAACGTGCGCCGGTTAACGGCTAGTTTACTGCTTTTTTTTTTGTAGGGTACTAATTGCACAGTGCTAGTATGGCGTCTGCAGCACCTATGCGGAAGTAGGCTGCCAGACAGTTCCAACAGTAGCATCCGTCCACCGCAAAGCTGTTGCATAAGCCTATTTAGAAACGCGCAGCACAGTCACAGCGAGAGCTGAAAGAGCGGCCTTTTACAGCCTTTTCTAAACACTCTTTGGTATGCTAGAAGCCCACTGCTGGGTACCCACTGCGCTATAAATAATCATATTTTGTGTAGTAGGTCATCAATGCTATGCTTTGCTATCCTAGATACATGGCACGTACCCACTTTTGGGGATTGGCCAAGAAAGCCGCGCAGAGACTGGTAAATGTAGTTTTAGGTAAGCTATGAAACTCGAGAGCAAAAATAAAGAAATAAAATGGCAAATATATGAAAAATATTCAATTTAACTACAAGTAATATGCTTTTCAGCCTGTATTCCAGGCTGCCGTAATAACCTGACGGGAAGAATTTTGAAAACTTAAGTTTTGACCAAACGAAATGACGAATAATTTTAAATGCCAGGTTAAAAGGGCACCCATTGAGTATTTTTAATGAAATTACACACGGCATCAAAGGCATCCCTGTGGCAGTATCCCAAGCCTGAGGCACCGAAGCTTAATATATTTTCCTCCGATAAGGTCAAGCCTATTTTCGTCAAAGGAGTAATTAGAAATCAAGTTCTGACACGAGAATATCTTGCACACGTCAAAAAGAAATGAGCGATATTTTCCAGTTTTCCGCAGAATTAGCAGAGGGGTGATATCGTCAGACCAGCCCTGTACCCATAAAAGTTTAATGGGGGACACGCCATCGAAATCTGCTGATCATCACTTCTGATTGCCGAGAATGGCTCCACTGCGATTTCCATGGATATTTCAGGTGGTTATTTTCCGTCCACGTGGTTATTGCTTCCATCCTATCTGTGTGGATAGCTGATCTTCTAAACCTGACTGCGGTGAGATATTGTACCACTGGTAGAACCTGAATTATTGGGAGATCTAGCGATGAGCGGGCTAAGGCGTCGGCCATTTCATTTATTGTTAACCCACAGTGACCTGGTACCCATACTAATTTTAGGTACTTCAGCTGAGACGGAACTAAAGATTGTAACGTCGTGATGGCATGACAGGTATGAGAAGTTGTAAGAGCTGCGCATACCGATAGCGAATAAGTAATTATTATTGCTTACACTATGCTATCCTTCATCATTCTTTGAAGAAGAGTGGTATCCTCTACACACTTGTTAGGAAATTTGGTGCAATTTTTCATGCTGTGGCTGACGACGATGATGAAAGATGCCTGAAGTGGGTATGCGCCACAGTAAATATATAGTGCCTTGGTAATAGGTGACCAAGAAAAAGTTTTCTGCGGCTTCGCTGTTCGGTATAGCTGTGGTACACTTCTGGGGGATTGTAGTTTATAACCTGCAGTAACTTGTATCAATGTTATTTTCCCAGTTTGAGCTTATTGTATTTTAGGTATACCTCTCTGGATGTCTGTGTCATCGCTGGGCCAGACGGTTTCCCTCTGGTCTGCTTCCGATTCTTCACAGGATATTCCACTGGATTTCTATCAGCTTACCAGAATCAACAGTGCTCCTGTGGCTGTGTTGCCAATGAATAGAGGAGTAATTCGAATGAAGAACCCTAAGGCCATCAAATATGAGCTATGCATGGTGAATCCTCAATATCTAGAGATAACAGAGACCCATAACTTCGGACATGGCAAAATCCTCTGCTGCTCTCCATACCAGGCCTGTAACAAGGACCATCTAAACTGTAGCAGTTTTACCTCATCTCCGGTGAGCTGTTTCGTTTCCTCTCACCTTGCTTGTTGTAAAAGCCCAGTTCGTGGAGTAAACGTCAGTTTAATCTTCAGCGAGCTGCTTCATTCCCTCCCACCTTGCTTATTGTAAAGGCCCAGTTCGTGGAGTAGGCGTCCGTTTAACTCCAGCGGAAATCTTGGACATTTTCTCGGAGGCAGGTTGTGTATCCGTCTAATGTTACAACAGGCTCGTCAACAGCGTGAGGGTTCCTTCTGAGACGGTTATCGCCACATTTGCCGGGACATCGCGTCCTTCAGAAATCAAAGCTTTACCTTTAATATATGGAGTTTAACCGCTTGCCCAATGCCCTCTTCACTGTGGAAAATGCTGGAGGCATGAACATCGCATGAACGATTGTCGCTCTATTTTCCGATGTTGCACCTTGGGACTGATCACAGGGCCAACGACTGCAAGTCTAATAAGGAGTCGTGCTGCTTATGTAGAGCCAATTGCAGAGCACACCACTCTGACTGTCCTGCTTGAGCTAAGGAACGCTAAAATATTGACAAAATTGAAAGAAGGTGTTGCTCATGCAGGGAAGCTTTAGCAAAAGTACAGAGCAGGACTCAAGGATATGCAGAAGTTACAGCCCGACTGCCTCTCGCCATATACGCGTCTACACCTCAGTCAAATTCTTCACTCGTAAAGAAAGCAGTAGAAAAGTGCCTTAAAACACTGCTTCTTAACTTATATGAGACTTTGTCTCAAGTGATTTCTTTACAGCTATCTGGTATGTCGGAGGAACTATCCAAAAACTTGCAAAACCCTATCTATTTAAATAATTTATCTCTTGGATCTCAGTCGGATTCTCAGAGTGATAAAAAGATTCAACCTACTAACTCACAAAGAACTGAGCAGGACTGTCTGTCTGATTCCGGGTCACAAGATATTCATGACGTAGAGATGGATGCTCGAATCCTTAAACGTATGAGATCCCCGAACATCAAGAATCAGAGTTCTAATCCAAAAATCAAGAAAAGTGCGAAGGAGCCTTTGACAAGGAATGATTTCTTGAAAGATAGTATTTAGGACCAAGCAGTTGCGGCTGCTTGCCTATCATCAAAATAGGGTAGCTGCTTGCCTATCATCAAAATAGGGTACCTTAGAGTCCTTCAATGCAACTGCCGTTCCATACTTGCCGCGATATCAAATCTGTTATGCATTATCTCGCAAGATTGTTACAATATTACAATAAACATGATTATTATCTGAAAAGGTTTTTATTTACAAAATTATAAATCTTTTCATTTGAATAGGAATACCTTAGAGCCCTTCAATGAAACAAACTGCCATTCCATACTTGCCGCGATAACAGATCTATGATGCCTTATCTCGCAACAATCTCTGGATGTTATAGTACTACAAGAAACTTAGTTATTATCTAAAACGTTTTCATTCACAAAATTATAAATACTTTCGTTTGAATAGGAATAGACGATGGGGAGAAGTAGCATTTTGTATATGATCCAAATTTTGTCATATAGTGAACATCGTTTTCCGGGCAATATCATCTGATTACGGAGTTCTATTAGTGGAACTTGTATTTCCAGGCTGCGCGCCATTATCGTAGACAGCTACTTTCCGACCGCAGTAAAATGGAGAAGTACTCTGAACTCCATTCAGAGATTTTGCAGACCTAAAACACTATTTATGGGAGAGTTTAACTCACATCATGTAACATGGGGATACCGTACACACTATAAAAAATTATCGAGCAAAAAGGGTGTCTTTTTGTACCACAACAATAATCGCCATCAAGCTTGCGTGCAAATTTTTTTTTTGAAAACTCGGTGCAGGCCACTTTCCTATCGAGAATGCAATGTAACCCTCATAATGGGCATGTCGATCGTGACCGGAATGTACCGGGCGCGGGGCAATAGCGCAAGGATAGAACGCAATAATGATGACGTTTATTGTTGTGGGACAAAAAGACACCCTTTTTACTCGTTCTTTTTTCAGAGTGGAGATGAATCAGGAAAGATTATTTGGAACTGGAATAATAAAAATGACTATAAATGTATAAGTTCTGTGGAACCCACATTCATTCGACGTAATGTCAGATCTGTGCTGAACTTGTCATTTGCTAGCTCAAGCCTTCTGATTTCTTCTCGGGTGGTAGTTGATACCACCTCTCCTGCCCAACAGTGCTTGACGTCAAATACTCCTTAATCTCATTGGGTCATCAGACTCAACCTTTTGTAAACTACTCAAAATAAAAAAAGTGGCATCATATCGACTAGGTGAATATTGGAGAGTGGAGCGAAGTGGCGTTCGCACGCCGCTGCCGCGCCGCTTCGGCCTCCCGTTCTCTTACGCCGGGATCTTGTCGGCGCCACTGCGCAGCTTTACACAGCGCGCTTCTGCCTCGCGCGCTCGCCGCTCAGCAGCCTTGTCCATCCGCCGACCTTCTGAACGAGCGCGTGCCAAAATGGCTTTTATTTTACTACACTGCGCCCCCTAGCATGCGGCGCCGACGACGAACACATGATCGCCAACGCAATCAAAAGGTAAAATATCCAACTTGTGAAACAAAGACTCACTGGGTTCATTAAATACCGCATAATCTCAATTCTAAGTGCACGCTTTTGTAACATCCGGATAGGATCAAGGTAAGTTTTAAAGGTCCATCCCCATGAGTCTAAGCAGTGTGATAGATGACTATGAACAAACGAAAAATAAAGGACTATGAGAATATTTCTGCTAAAATAATTTCTTGCAGCCAGTAGCATACTGCAGCCAGATGCTAGCTTAGTACAAACGGAGTTAATTTGTTTTTTTCCAGTGATTTGGCTGTCGAACACTACACCGAGATATTTAAATTCATTTACATGCTTGAGTTGGCAGTTGTTCATTGTAAGTCGAAATGACTCACAGTTTACATTTTGGTAACGGGAGTGAAAAATGGTGTGTTTGGTTTTCTTTGCATTGAGTGTTAATTTTTTCACTGTAAACCACTTAAAAATATTTTCTAGTTCTTCATTAGCGCTACATTCTAGATCGGCTATGTTATCGGCGGTAACTATTAAAGCTGTGTCATCAGCGTACATTAGCAACTCGGCCGATTTGAGTATGCATGGCAGATCATTTACGTAAAGTGAGAATAGCAGTGGCCCCAGGGCGGACCCCTGAGGTACCCCTGTCTTTATGTTTATAATGATGACGTAAGATCTTGCATGTTGACCATTTGATGACGTCCATCAATGTAGTTAGAAAAGAGGCTAGAAATTTTGCCGCGGAATCCATAGTGTTTTAATTTCATAAGCAGAATATTATGGTCGACGGTATCGAATGCCTTTTTTAAATCAATGAAGACAACTGCCACAAGAAGGTTGTTGTGCAGTGCTTTGTTAATCTTCTGTGATAACAATAACACAGCTGTTGATGTGGAATGGTGTAATCTAAATCCATGCTGCTCTGGGCAAAAAGCCTTATATTTTTCTAAGAATAGGCGCATTCGTTTTCTAAGAATCTTTTCGAATATGGTGTTTATAATGCTTAACACAGATATGGGCCGATAGCTTGAAGGATCAGGGCGATCGTTCTCTTTATATGCCGGCACAACTTTGGCGTTTTTTAAACAAGATGGGTATGTCGACGTACGCAAGCAATGGTTAAACACGTGGCACAAGATGGAACTCAAAAATCTATGTTATCTTTGACTAAACAAGCAGTAATACCATTTATTTCACTGGCTTTGTTCGCGCTTATATTGGCAACAGTGTCATGAATTTCATCCTCACTGATGTACTGAAGAGCAAATGTATTTGTTAAGGAGGTTGAAAAGCATTTAATTTCTCTACTAGAAAATTTTGCGGCTAAGGTAGAGTCGATTTCAGTAAAGAATAGATTAAATTTATCAAGTATACGGGCATCGACTACATCCCCACTTGTCATAAACGACTGCAATTTTCGTTTCACCGGCGTGCCCCATCGTCCAATGAAGGGCGCTTTTGTGTAGGGAAGATGACATCTGGCGACTGGCGACGCAGCGGCGGCGCCGGCGCGTCTTCCCTCCACCTGTACCGAAAAGAGAAACAGGTGTTCGAAGAAAAAGAAATGGCCACGAGAGGGGACGGGACGTCCCGAAAGAGTTTGGACTGCATTGGAATCGGCAGTTGACGCGCAGCCAGCAAGAAGTGCGGTCGTCGGTGTCGCGTGTCTCACGTAGGCGAGCATGGAGTGACCTGCGCAACGTAATAAGACGGCTGCAATTCCGGGCACCCTCGTCGTCTACTAAGCTAGCGAGATCTTCAGCGACACCCCGTCAACTACCCTACGTGTACCAAGATCTGGCCTGGTCCGTAAGGAAGTTTTTATTGAGACTTTTCTTTTGAAACTGTTATTTTTTATAATCAGCTTTTAATTGATTGTACTTTTGTGCGCTGCGTCGTACTTAAAAATCCAGGAGTGCGACATTGACCGTTTTCTTGTATATTTTCTGTGCATATCCTGCAGTTTCGTCACGTTCTTATTTTATTACCATTACACGTATTTGTGTTTTGTCTCTACCTGTTGTAGTTTTCTTTTAGAGCATAATTTGCTTTGTTGTTTTTTTTCATCGCGTATCAGTGTTTTTTCTCTATTATTTTTGCAATCTCTTGCCGATTGCCCTTGTTCTAATAAATGCTTGTTTGTGTGTAATCAAATGTTCGTGCCTGCTCTATTAGTGCGTTGGTCAGGCCCACACATCACTACACGTGCAACCCTGCACTGGTCGACCGACCTTCTAATAAATTTGAGATGTTCCACTTCGAGGCCTTTCAAGCGTGACAGGCCGAAGCGTAAAGTGGACGCCTGCGAGTCTGCCGCACGTCGTTGTTCTATCGGCGGGGCTTCACCCGAAGTGTGTGACAACACTCTAGCTTGTAATATCTGCATGCTTATCATAAAAGCATATTTTAGAATTAGCGCTTCATCACTTAGACGTTCACAGTTCGTATTTATTTCTGAACTGAGAACATTTTTAATGAGCCTTGGTCTCGAGTACATGGGTCTCATATTTTGTTTTTTAAAAACCAGCTGGAACGTTTGAACGTCAACATACGTAGCATTGCCTCAAACCACCCATTGGCAAAAACTAAAATTGAATTTGATAATATATTTCCATCTAATGCCAAATTTCTACCTAGAAGGTTTCTAAAAGGTTTATTAGAAGAATATTCACTTCAATTGGAAATTGCAATTGTTATTGCTATGGATGCATCGATGTGTTAAGAGAAAGCGGGGATAATTAATATTTTAGATACTTTTTTTGGTCCTTCTCAGTACGTCTCCCCGATTACACTCTTATGTATGAAGCATAACTGTTTGCATTTATTTAGGCCCTTAGAAAACTTTCAATCAATAATTCTATAGTTGTTGTTACTGATTCGCTCTCGGTATGTAGATAGTTGCTCAGCTTCTTCATCCGAGTATTCCTCTTGAAATGCTTTCACTCCTTTAATCCCAAAACACCTAAGTACAGAGCGGGTGGTGTGAGTGCCAGGTCACTGAGGCATACTTATAAATAAAATGGCTGACACTCCAGCGTGGTAGTTCCTAAATTGTGCTGTAATGTACATTTTACGTGATACCAGTTTTGTTACTGAATCCGGATTTCGTAAGTATTCTTTAATGCAGGATTCCATGATGCCAGTTCAAAAATATGGCCATCTTTCCTTTGCTTGGAATAGTAAATAGGGCTCCTCCCTCTCGCAAAATGAAAGCATGCATTACAAGCACCTACTCACCTACTGTAATACCAAATTTGGTACATGTGACACTAGCGAAACAGCCGCAAGTGCATCATCAGCGTGGCAAGTAGTCATGTTGTTACATGGCTCGCATGTCATGAATTTCATATTAGGATTTGTCGCTTGTGTTCGCTATGCAATCATGCCAAACCAAACCAGTTTCGCAACATGCCATGTGACCGAAACTACAGAAAAAGCTGCAGGACTATGAAATGTAAGTCATGACACTCATGACATACATATCATCATTTTCATGTTATGACTAGTCAAATGTGTTCTTCATACATTCATGTTGTGCCATACCAAGGTTTGTATCGATTATCATTATCGAGTATTTATATCACTATCAAAACGGCCAGGAAAGCTAAAAGTCGTAGGCGGCTAGATAGATAGATAGATAGATAGATAGATAGATAGATAGATAGATAGATAGATAGATAGATAGATAGATAGATAGATAGATAGATAGATAGATAGATAGATAGATAGATAGATACGCTCAAAGTCACTGAAGTTCGCTAAGAAATGCTTCGCATTCAAAATAGTACCGTAATATAAGTAGATATTGAAAATGAAAACTCATGCTGACGTGAAGCTGAGTTCATGTTTTGTTTATTTTATTAGGCGCCATCAAATGCAATGCAAGCCAAGGTACTTTCATGCATAGTATCTCGGCCCAATAGAAATGAAATACACTTGATATTGCTTATATAACAGCAACACATAAACCATGGCATAGCCATAAAACTTCATCAAGCAGCTTGACAAAGCAATATAGATGAACATACCAGACAAATATGTATATAATCTCGTGAAGGCAAATGAGGTTCGTAAGTCGTGACGCAGAGTGTTGTGGTAGCAGTTTCCTAAAGCGCTAGGTCGGGAGTTAATTGGAAAGTTCGGGAACCATGCTTCATCTTAATTGTTCCACGGCGGCAACATCGACTAAGGGTAGTTAGCCAAGTGCTACCTACGACTTCATAGATTGCGGCTGTTATAAACGAATATATCTTATTATATAGCATTGAAACATCATGCGGCTGCAGCGTATCTGCCACGCGTCGAGTCGGTCAATACGTATTCACGCTTTCCCTGACGACAAAGCTTCCCTGGCCGGGCTCCACAATCAGCATTTTCGGCATTTGGTCCCGCCTGCTCAGAAATTCCGCGTATTCAAACAGGCTGCACAGGATCAGGCTCTGGAAGGAGAAAACAACACAGCAAGTTGGAAAGTCAAAGTGGATAACTCGAAATTTGCAAGTTATTTGTCTACGGTAACACCAGCATCTATATCTACATTTCTGTTGAAAAAAAGTTCATTACTTTGAATGCAATTTAGTTCTGCGGAGACCCGTAAGGTGGCGGAAGGTCTTTAGAAAAAAGAAAACAGACGACTACCTGTTTTTGACACAAAGAGCAAGGAAATTTGTACGGATTTTACGGACTTCCTCATGCCTTCGTGCCACAAACGGATGGCTCTCTATTTTTACTTTTTTAATTGTTTTTACCTACGCAACAAGACATACTCAAAAAGATCATTACCTTTTAAACATAGCTTATTGATCGTGTTGCATCTCACAGATTCATCGGTGTGTTCTCATTTACCTTTGTGCATTCACGTCACGTGATAGAAAATTTGGTATGTGGGGAGCTGACGAAACGGCCGGGAGCATGCGGTGAGCGTAGCATGAGTCATGTTTTACATGACGAACATGTCATGATTATTACGTTTGGACGTGCCTTTTACCGTTGTCGTCTATTCACGTCACCTGATACCAAATTTGGTATATCTGGAACTAGTGAAACGGCCGCTAGCGGGCTATGAGCGTTGCTTGCAGTCTTGTTTTACTTACACACATATCGTGATTATTGTGTTTGCACCAGTCATAAACCTTCATCATCAATTCATGCCACATAATACCAAATTTGCTATACGTGAAGCTACCAAAACGACCGTGATCGCTCCATAAGTGTATGACCTGCAATCATGACTTACATGACATGCATACCATGATTTCCACGTAAGGATCGGTCCCTTATGTTTGCCATGCAGTGATGTCATACCATACTAGCTTTGCAATGTGTCATGTCAACGAAACCACCGAAAGAGCAGCACGAACATGAAATGTAAATCATGATATTCATGACATACATGTCATGCTTTCCATGTTGTGAATAGTATCTAATGCTCTTCATACAGTGATTGATTGATTTGTGGGGTTTAACGTCCCAAAACCACCATTTGATCATGAGAGACGCCGTAGTGGAGGGCTCCGGAAATTTTGACCACCTGGGGTTCTTTAACGTGCACCCAAATCTGAGTACACGGGCCTACAACATTTCCGCCTCCATCGGAAATGCAGCCGCCGAAGCCGGGAATCGAACCCGCGACCTGCGGGTCAGCAGCCGAGTACCTTAGCCACTAGACCACCGCGGCGGGGTCTTCATACAGTCATGTTATGCCACAGCAATTTTAGTATTGATACCATTATAACGGCCAGGAGAGCTAAATGTTGTAGAGGGCTAGACAGACAGATAGACAGATAGACAGACAGATAGACAGATAGACAGATAGATAGATAGATAGATAGATAGATAGATAGATAGATAGATAGATAGATAGATAGATAGATAGATAGATAGATAGATAGATAGATAGATAGATAGACAGATAAATAGATAGATAGATAGACAGACAGACAGATAGATAGATAGATAGATAGATAGATAGATAGATAGATAGATAGATAGATAGATAGATAGATAGATAGATAGATAGATAGATAGATAGATAGATAGATAGATAGATAGATAGATAGATAGATAGGACAGAAATTGAACCGTTGACCTTTTGTTCACATACAGTGCCATTTAAAACAAATCAGGAACTGGAAGGAATTGTGACATGCGACATTAAAAATAAGCAATTATGGTGTATTACAAGGTAAATTCAACAATACTGAATTTTTAAGGACTATTATTTTTAGTGGAACCTCAGCCATAGTTTACGACATATCAGCGTCGAGATAGATTATTTTTCTATCTGACGTAACTTACAGATTCGCCGCTTGCCTATCTTTTTTTTTCGTAGCTAATGTTGTGTACAAGCCGTCCCACCGACTATTTCTTTGCAAAGCATATTTACATGAACGTTACTTTTAATTCTAATAAAATCACAATGCTTGATTGTACCGTATGTATTCGTATTTTTTTCATGTATGTATGATTACACATGTGTAAGCGGGAGATCGGCGCATTGTCAATCTTTCTTCACATTTACAGATATACTCTAGCTAATCATCTATACTAATAGTCTGAAGTATATATAAGAAATAGCGAAATAAAAAAAAAGCTGCTTATATATTGAAGCGGCAAGTCCATCAGCAGGCATCTTGCTACACTTGGTTGTAAAAATAAAAAAAGCGATGAGTGTAAGATAAGAAACCTTTGATTTTCCTAACACATACATAACTCTTTCTGTGCTATATATAGAAGACTTAGCTTCACATTCATTGAAATTTGGATTTGGGCTTTGAAAAATTGGCAGATATCACGTACAGTGGAAATGGATGATATGCGAAGCACGAATGAGAAATGTTCATGTCCCTTTAAATCAGCACAATGTTATGAGGTGGAGGTAAATGATGCTGTATATGATTTCTGTGTCATGATTATCATGTTTGGGTGTGTCGTTTATCTTCGTCATCTATTCACGTCACTTGGTACCAAATTTAGTATATGTGCAGCTAGCGAAACGGCCGCGAGCACGCTATGAGCGTGGTGCGTTGTGAAGTTCTTACATAAAACGCATGTCAGGATTATCATGTTGGCACCAGTCATATAGTTCATCATTCATTTACGTCACGTAATGCCAATTTCGGTATATGTGGAGCTTGCAAAATTGCCGGGAGTGCATAAGAAGGGCCCAACATACTCCAATGTAGCGTTGACACGAGGGCACGCTGGGCACTGCGACGCAACGTTAGCAAAACGCGAGCACTGACGCCAGGCATGACCAGCCTCCGTCGGCAACCGGCTTGAAATGCGATATGCTGAATTTCGCGCTGATGCGTTACCCAGACAACACTGTGTCTCCCTCTTTTCGTGACGGAGGGACGCCGGACACACTGAAACGCGCATGCGTCAAAGCAACGCAGCGCGCCGCGTGCCTGCGAGTATATGGCAGGACCAGCGCCTTGATTGGCAACGCCACCGTTGCGCGACGGAATGAACGCCGTAGACCACGCACACCGCGTCATGTCGAAATGTATTGGTGCCTTAACTGTGGTATGTAGTCATGTTCTCACATGACACGCATCTCATGATTATCATGTTTGCACCAGTCACATACCTTCATAATTCATTGGCGTCACGTAATGCCAATTTGGCATATGTGAAGCTAGCGAAACGGATGCCAGTGCATCATGAGCGTGGCATGTAGTCATGTTGTTACATTACACGCATGTCATGATTTTCATGTTATGGTCTGTCGCTTGTGTTCACCATGCAATCACGCCATACCCTATCAGTTTTGCAACATGTTATGTGAACGAAATCACCGCAAGAGCTGCAGGACCATGATATGTAAATCATGACATTCATGACATACATCTCTTGATTTTCATGTTATGACTAGTCGTGTATGTTCTTCATGCAGTCATGTTATGCCATATCGAGTTTCGTACCGATACCATTATTAAAACGGCCAGGAGAGCTAAAATTCGTAGGTGGCCAGGCAGATAGATACGCTTAAATTCCCTGAAGTTCGCTATGAAATGCTTCGCATTTATTAAATTAAAAAAAAAGAAAAGTAACAGGCCCGACAGATTTGTATCAAATGCCACTTTCATGTGCGATAGATGGAAACTTTGACACTTCTAACTAACTTTTAGGAAGTCCATGTAATAAAACTAGCGATATGTATTCAGAATTATTTTATTTGAAGCAGACATTTTTTTCTCGGCCCCCAATCAACTGTGCAATAAAATTAAACAACGATCTCAGAAGTTCTCAATTTGTTCTACATGCGGAGCGCAGAAATATCTCTATCGAAAGTTTCGCTTTGTGTACTTGGTTTGTATTCGCTTTGTTTTTCGTGAGCGCTGCGTTGCCTACAGTGTTCAATTAAAGTGGAAACATCTCCTCGGCACGTAAATATATGACAGCGAACAAATCTTCCATCATTATAGTGCAGTTGCGAACGTCAGATGGGTGCATATTTAAAATTCTTTGAATACAGCCGCCATTTCAAATTAGTTGTAGATAAGTACTATTGGATCTTATTCGTTAGCAGCAAAGTGTGGCATATGTAACAGTGAAATGTCCGGTAAAGCCTATAGTATAGTTTGTGGAAAGTACTTTGCATCGCATTTTGACCTGCGAATACCGCATTAAAGAATCCCTGAAAATGGTTAACGTATTTTTTATCAAAAGACTGTTTATAGCTCGCTTTTGAAGTTCGTTATTGTACGTCACGTAACAAATACATCACTATAGGTCAGAAGTTATTGGTATAAAACACTTTATAAACACTGACCGTTATTTTAAATAAATTGGTACCATACAAATTCTAGTAAGCAAAATATCACAAAAAAAGCCGGCTACCATAGTCTGTGCAATAAAAGCCACAACGCCGCAGTATTCCTGTATGCGATATTAGTTCATTATGTCGAAAAAGTAACACTACGTCTTTCTTCAATATTTGGCTTGACAAGAAGAGGAACAAGTTTATTTACTCCGAGCTGTATGTAAGATTTGATTCCTGTTTTCACAGTGCAGGTTCCACACATTGAGATTTTTGAACGTACATTATCCCATTTTCACAATGGAAAAAAATGGCGTTCAAGCCGATAAAAAGAGTAGCATTTTTGTTCACAATGCATTTTCTCTACACACACAGACGCACACTCTTACAAACGCACGCAATGCACACTCAAATTAGATACAGAAGTAAACTTTGCAAGTTTTGATTTATGTCACCACGTAGCACAGTTACAACGCCAAAAATGATGTTTAATTGAGGCTCAGTTACTTTTGAGAATTCGCGAGAGACACATGGCAAACATGACGCTGAGGTGCATATATGGCGAAAGTATTTACTGTTACATTCGCGTAGTCTTAAAATTGACGTAAAACTATGTTGACGGTATACCCGCGTCTGCTGAACAATATAGGTGTCAGAGTAGCTGGTGTTATTGATATAGGACATCCTAACTTTTACTGATTTGACCGTTATCTTGCTGGAAGTGAAATGACGCTCACGTTAAATACTTCAAAGGAATTAGTGCGGGTGCCGTTTATTGATATATTAGGCACGCTCATCTGCACGTGCTTCAGAGACGTACACTCGCAGTGACAGGGTTAATAGCACCAGTTCCATTAACTTTATTATTATTGCCTCAAATGCCTACCTGTACTGATACAGTTACCAAGAGTGCTAGATGCTTTCAATTTAGTTTGCCAATACGTCCTATACACCTTTTTATAAACACCTTCCTGGGCGCCGCCTAAGCCCTCCTTGGGCAGTGCAAATTGGCGCGTCCCCCCGAAAAGGCACTTGCAACGCTGCGCCCTTAGCCCATAGAGTTTCTCAATATACAGTAGAGGGAACTCTGGCGCTAGTGTCCATGGGAGCTGCAACACACGGTGCTTCAGCGAGCATGGCAATGATGGGTAGTACACACATTTGTCTAATTTTCGTACTTCTGGCCTGCTTCTGGCTCCGTGTGTGTCCGTGTGGCTTGAAGCTGTTTTTTCATGAATACATGATTTAGCAAATGTTCATCGTTTGCGCTTCACAACCTTATTATTTTAGGCTTACCATTTTGAATCAAGTCACTAAGTTGAAAAGGGTTTGTTTTTTCTTTCAAAACAAAACTGAAACACAGCAATAAACGAAGCCGCAAGTACGATTCGCCACCCGCAAGTACGAAGACTAGGCAAATGTGGGTACTACCCATCATTCTCATGGTCACTGAACGATCGCAGCACCAGAGTGCCCTCTAGTTAATTTTGGGAAACTATATGCCTTAGCCTTTGTACTTCCGCGCACAGCCCATCATGGCGATGTTTTTTTTCCTTCCTGTGAAAAGGTTGATACAAATTTAAAATTTATATTGACTCAGTAAGCGCGTCTCTGAAAAAAAGTGTCGCCATATCCACGAAGTGAATGATGATGAGTGGGCGAAGCTCCGGAGGTAACTTAGAAGTGTGGCAGCTTGGGCTAGTTGGTATGACATGACGATAGTTATAATGCGAGAACAAAACGACGACACAGAGACAAGAAGGACACGAAAGACGCTCGTGTATTTAGTGTCCTTCTTGTCTGTGTGTCGTCGTTTTGTTCTCGCGCTATAACTATCGTCCGGAGGTAAACCTGGTAAACCATGAATCCTCCGTACATCTTGCACACTCGATTTTATTACAACGCTCTCCCTAGCGCACGTCGCCGCACTAAATCGAACGATTGCCTTCCACCAATGACACGCGCCATATGTGACATCATTTCTATTTTATAACATCTCGCATCTCTCATCATCAACTACAAGTACCGCCGTGAAGTTTATAACATCTTGCATCTTTTCATCATCATCAGCTACAAATACCGCCATCTAGTCAGCACTGCAAGAACTAAACGAGAGGTGGCTACATACAGGGGACGCACAGCCCACGCCTTAAGGAGCTTCGCCCCTAAAAAAAGCGACTTGATGTTGAAACAGCTATATGTTTTTCCCATAGTGCAGCTGCGGTGTATGAATTACGGTGCCATGCTAATTGTTATAATGAAGGAGTTGCATAAACGCCACTGACGCTGGATAAATCTCCGAAGTGTTCAAGGAACGCTGGGTGGAGCCGCCGTTGTGCAAGATAACAAATGAAAAACAAAACCCACGAGATCACGGCGCTCGCGCTAGTGAAAAGAAGTACGAATGTGAAATACAGGCTTCATTTCGACATGAACACTTTCTGTAATCATGGTGTTATCCATGCGACCATACGCCCGTTGGCTGTTTTCTGTTCATTCGCACAGATGACGCTGCAAGTAACTATTTTTTGCAAAGGGTCATATATTTCTCGAGCTTTCCGGTGTTCGATGATGATTTGGGTGTTTGGTGAGAACCATACTTATGAGCTCACAGTGACGTATGCAGGAATCACCCACACCGTGCTAAAAATTCCCTAAACAAGCCCAGAAAGTCATTTCATGACTTTCAACCAGTAAGTCGCAAGATATTAGAAGGCATGAACTGATATAGACTAATTTTTAGCGAAGCAAACAACGCAGAAAAAGCTGGGCTTGCGAGTTGCCTGCGCACAAGTCTCGAATTTCAGTGCGGGAACAGAATTCGATAGACTCACCTTTATGACTAGTCTCATGATGACCCAAGCGAAGTGAAGAAATTGTCGGATTGTCTGCAACGCATAAAAAGGACATGTACTATATTTATGCATACTTCAATTTTATTCTGGAAGTGCGAAGGTGGCCTCACACGAGTGCATTTAATACTGACTTCTGGTGTTCTTTGTTGTTTTTGTTTCTGTCAGAATCACGATATCAGTGAGGTGCACGCCGTAGTGAAAGATTCTAGATATTAAGCCCCACCTGCGGCTCTTCAACGCGCACTCGATTCTAGGCATACTGGGGTTCTCTGCATTTCGCCCCTATATCTGGCCGTCCTGGGCGGCACTCGAACTCGCAACCTCGAGCTCAGCAGTGATAAACTTTACGAGATAAGATACCATAACTGTAAATTGAGAGAGACGGAAAATTATTTAGGTCACATAACTGTGGAGTTTACCGGCCTACAGAAAGGTATAAATGTTAAATCTGACAGTTGTCCAGATAAATATTCCCGTGGAATATCAGTGTGCTGCACAAATAATAATAGCGTGGTACATATTTTACAAAGGTACGGCGTGCATTTTAAACAGGCCGTCAAGAGAACTGTCATAATGCGGTGAATTTCCTATCACGAAGCATGTGTGTATTATTTCCATGTATGTCTCATTCAGTGTACTGCGCACGCGATGTCGGTGCGAGTAAAGAAAAACACCAGATGGTTGAAATCTCCAAAGCGCGCCATACAGGCTTTCACTATATTCATATTCTGGTTTTGGGAAGTTAAATCCCAGATATTATTATTTTATTATACGCCTCATTGTAGTTCTGAGTTTGAATGCTTGTTTTTCACCTTCCTTTTGCAGTGCGCCACACTACGCATGAGAAAGGCATTCAATGCTGCTGAAATGTAATGAAAAGGAAAACGTTTGGCACAGTGTCGTCACGTCATGCAGCGAGAACATCCACAGAAATAAGGGAAGTTGAACATCGACATGAAGATGGGTCACCTACGTGCTAGATAGAAGCATCATTCTGATTTTAAATACCGTTAGTTCAATGTCGAAAGGCGTCATAGATTTCACTTCGATTATCAAGCAGTTTAAATAAGCAAGTGTTCTCACATATATGACTGGGCAAGGTGAAACCACACCTTAGGATCGGGCATTGATTTTCATTCTTACAGAAATTCGAAGTGTTTTTAAACCCTAACTTCACAAAATAAGAATAACGCGGAGGCATAACGTCCATACGTTTCTGAGACATTTACTGCTGACGAGGCCTCTTAAAGAAATCGTGTATGGTCAACTTCTCCTTGGTATATGAGCCCTCAACATAAAGCTTCCTATTCCAGCAAATGTGGCCAGTTCATTCTGAGAGGTTTCCGTTGCTGTCACATATTTACTAACCCGAGACATGTTGGGGAAGGCCCTTGAGCAAAAGAACAACCTTTTCAAGACCCGGGCAAGTCGCCTCTCAAAGCTTCTTTCAATCGGGAGCGAGGCATCTTGCGTTATGCTGCAGCTTCATTTTGGCTGTCACAATGGTTGTCAGTGTACTTTTAGTTGCTCCATATTTCAGTGCGACTTCAGTCTTATTTATTCCAGCGTGGACTTCTTGAAGTGCAGTCAATATCTCTTTCTGGGGTAGCGGCCGATACTTCGTGCCGGGTGACATGGTAGATTGAAAACTGCGCGGCGAATTTCTAGCTCCGGGATACACGAAGTGCAGATCCCGTGTTTCGGTGTCGGTCGGCACGCAGATGAGCAAAGAGAGCCGGATGCCTGGCGCGTCACTTTTGTACAAGGTAGGTCGTTTTGCCCTTGAGGCTCTCATTGTTAATTTTTTGACCATCATTGTATTCAACTTTTCATAAACGCCTCCCTGGGCGCCGCCATAGCCCTCCCTTGGTTGTGCTAATTGGTGCGTCTCCTCGAAAAGGCACTGACAACGTTGCGCCCTTAGCCTTCGTATTCCCGCGCACAGCCCATCATGGCGGTGTTTTTTTCCTTTCTGTGAAAAGGTGTATAGGCACGTCGATTTTAGAAAAGTTGCGGGAAAGCAGTAAATATTTCTCAATATGGATACTCAAAAAACACAAATTAACCAAATAAGGGACTTTGAAGTGTCGTATTTGGGCAATTTCATCGCACCACTGATTCTAAACAAGAACCGATTTAAATTGACCCCTCCCCCCCCTAAAAAAATACTAGAATCCCCAATAATATTGCGCACCCTTTTTGCTATTTAGACGCACGAAGAAAACGTACAAACATTTTGTTAATTCGCCTGCTCATCTTTAAGATCTGAAAATCGCCCCTGTGCCCAGACTATGACAGCCTTTTCTTGAGGACGGTATTCGAAGATCGACTTTTCCAGCTTTCACCAGTCACGAACACCGCTCTACGACACGTCAAAACGACGGCCTGTTGCCGTTGTTGTACACGTAAAAAACTCCCAAGCATTTTCCTGAGGGTGAACATGGTTAAGTGCGAATGCACGGGGTGACGCTATGAAGGGGAGTAAAGTTAAAATCCGTTGGCATTCGCCAGTGAGTTAACGTAAACTCCCCTGTGTGATAACATTGCGATTCCCAGGAACCATTAGACCCTCTCGGGAAATCTTGGTGAGTTTATGCGCATATGTGAGAGTAAACTCGCACTGTAAGGATCTGTCCGCGGCCCGCTTCGCTCGCTTGCTCTCGGCATCACGGGCCCTTTGGTTCGCTGCCTTGTCTTCTACCAGCGCGACATCTTCTACGACGCGTGCAATGCTCGCATTCGATTGCGTTGTACTCGTTGTTGGAGGTATCGCAGTCGAGGTTGATGCCTGCGATAGATCCATACATATGCGATAGATCCATACATATGACGACTTGCCGATTTCGAGCAAGTCGTGGCTGCGCGTGCTCGGCACGCGCAGCCACGGACCGGAGGGCGGAGCGCGTGCAATCACGTGGTGTGTGACGTCGCTGCGCCGTTGCTACAGACGCTCCTATCCACTCCTCGCGCCGTTGCTAGGGGAGAGGAGGAGGTACACCGCGGACGGTGGATTCAAGGTCGCTTATAAAGTGCATTCGCACTTAAAACTAATTTCACGTTTAAAGCCATTCTCTTAGCGGACACGACGCGTCATCATGGCTGCAGCGTTCATCCTTGTACAAGATGGCTGACTAATCGCACAAAGCGCAATGAAAGCACAGGACCTGTCGCAAATGGCTCCAGCCACGCAAGAAGGGAAAATCACATGCGATAGCACTGTTGCTATAGCATCAGGGTTGTTGCTATAGACGTCACTGTTGCTATAGACGCCACTGTAGACGCGACTGTTGCTATAGCATCAAGTGAGCGATCCCACCTCTCGACAATGGGCAGCTACGGCACAGCCTTGGTTTGTACCTGAATCCAACGCACATGTAACATTAGGGCATATTTTTGCCGAAAAAGGGTGTGCGTTGGAATTGCCTGGCTACGATAGGTGGCTTTTAAGTGCATGAAAAAAAAAGAGTGGGCGAACCAAAGATGTCCATTTCGTTTGAATTAACCGCAAGAACGAGTAATTAGGCCAAAGTATTGACAGCCCACTGTATCTATAAATCCCTTGGCCCTGAATGGTGGACCTCTCACCAAGAGAAGCACTTGCGGACAGAACACGAATGATGGAGTGAATGCGCTGAGTTGTGATCACTCTGGTCACTGTTCGATTTGCGGAAAAAACGTCGTAATATTGAGACTTACAATGCCACACGCATGAAAAAACTGCGCACATGAAGCCACTTGCTCTTTCGCTTCACCCATTCATTGCAATCGTCCCACTTCGTTCACGCCACATGCCCTAACTGAGAGGTCTGAAAAACGCGTGACGTGAGGAGGCTTGCATTGTGCCATGGCGAGGGTTATACTCGGCGACAAATTTTGTTGCATTGTAGCGAAGGCTATGGAGCCAAATCACGTGCATCCTATCTCACCACTAGTGAATGTAGTTCCACAACAGCGCTCGTCTTTTCACCATGAAATATAAACGTTACCCCTTTATTTTTTTTTGTGGAGGTATTTGAGACAGGACGCAGCTACCTCCATTAAGATAGTCGTATTTACTTGAATTTATTCGTCGTAACTTCGCATTTTTTTAACGCACGAGAAAGTACCACCTATTTCGGTGCAGCTCAAACGCTGAGCCGCGTCTGCGTCAACATAAAACGCTGATGGTGGGCCTTCGTCACTTCCCATGCGTTACGAGACACGCTCTAAAACAGATTGCTTCACGTAGTGCTACATGAGCAGAAGCTTTGCTTCCATAGCTTTCACTTCAGTGCCAAGAAAAGTTGTCGCCGAGTGTAGTGCACTCTATAGTAAACAAATAGGCGCGACACACCAAGCTTGTCGCATGTCGTTTTAAGAACTTCATTTTCGTTTTCTGCTAATGTAAACATATATTTGCATAATTTTTGATAACTTCTCACTACTCCACGAAATCATACGGAAGCCATATGCGCATGTGGAAATGGTATACGGAACGTTTCATTAGTGGAAACTGTGCTGCACTTAACCTTACACTCACAAGAGGCGGGGCACGAAGCAGCCATTATTGTGTCTCCTTCTAGCGCTACCCTGGCACGCGTGATCAGCTAACATCGTGGAGCTGGTGTACAGCACTAAGCACAAGGCAATGGCGAAATTTTATTTCAAGTCTACGTCTAGCTGCTAAGGCAATATTTTTTTATTATCTCGCAGCTACAATTATTGTGGCAGCTTATCAGATCTTCTATCGCCTAGTATCGCAGTTTTAAGTACATAATATGCGGGGTTGAACGTTTCAAAACCAAATCTGAGCACACGGGCCTTCAGCATTCTCGCCTTCATCGAAAATGCAGCCGCCGCAGCCGCGATTCGATCCCGAGTACCTTAGCCACTAGACCACCGCGACGGGGCCAGTTTGAATGAAGTACAGTACACCTTTAGCAAAAGGTGCGATTGCTAAACGACCATGAATATTGTTGCACTTTAGCAACCCCATCTACTCGGCCTAATGTAAGCACAAAATGATGGCCTCGTGTTTACAACCATGGGAAAATGTTTCAGAAATATTACCGCAGGTGGTACATTCCGAATGGCAAGTTCGGTTCTCCTTCTCTCGGTCTGTGAAAGAGACGTCAGAAATATTTGAGGACCGGAATATTTTATTTTACTACATAAACGAATGATAAGTTCATTGTGGTCCCGTGAAAACATAGAAAAAGGAAACACGTCAATGCTAATGTATAGGCCTATCTGGTTTAAACCTAGTTCTATGACAACAAAACAACAGCGTGAATGAGCACTCGATATGCATGGCAAACTAGTACACTTCTATATGAAATACAGTAAAGTCTTGGAGATTTGAGTTTCGAATAGCCCCCCCAAAACTTTAGTATCGCCTGAAAGTCGCGTCACTAGAAAACATAAATTAATACGTGACAAGAGAAATCTAGTGCAAATTTTCGGTTATCGAATATTAGGGCAGTACCGGCATTTTTAACGCTCTGAATGACTGTCAGTAAATGCTTTAGGTGCCACTGATCATAGACGTAAATATAAGGCACGTGTGCGTGTGTAATCAATAAACCCGATGCGTGTGACCCATCACACCTAGTAGGTCCTTCGTTATCGTAGTACACTTTTTCTCATGGCAATACACTGTAAACAGAACTAAGCCGAGATGAGAGTAAATGACCTTGTCCTCTAGCGCACGCCCCGGTGGGAGTTTTATAAACACTGTCTGGAGGGAGTAAAAAAATCACTCCCCATCCGTAGGAGGTTTTTGCATGGTGCCAGGGTGGTTTTTATTTACGTCCATTGGGGAACTTTTTCAGGTCAGTATGGGAGTAAATTTTTTGCATCGACTGAGAAAATTACGTCAGCAGTCGTACCTTGTGCAAGCGTAATTTTAATTGCATTACATTTAATGCCCACAACAATGATTACAGCACACAAACATTCTCACAACGTTCACGTAATATTACAGCACTTGCACTAACCACAGGTTGCTTTTTTTTCTCTTTATTACCGGCTTTGCACAAGGTACCAACATCAATATAAGTCACTGTAAACAGTAACATACAAACAGAAGTGATGACAAAACAGTCGCGGAACAGTGATTACAGTGCTAAAATTCTTTCAGGTTCACCAGGGGTTCGACCCTGGAGAGCCATTCCGGAACAAAATCTTGTTGTTCTAGTGTATCAATGTACTGAGCAATGCTGATGATGTAGCAGTGTACTGCACCACCAACGAGAGTGTACAAGAGACAGTTGCCGTTGTTTAAAATTTTGGAGAAATTACAGGAAGTCGGGTTAATTGGGGAAAGTGTCTGGGGTTGTGGCACGGAGACTGGACATCAACCCCAGATACCTATGCTAACGTTCACTGGTTTAATACTCCAGTAAAATATCTAGGTGTGCCTTTCCAGCACTACAAAGACACCAATGATTACTGAACTGAACAAATAAAAAAAACACACGAAAGGACAGCGCAGTGGAATGGCAACTGTCTCTCAATGTTTGCCAGAGCCACTGTATGCAACGTATTTTTAATGAGCAAAATATGGTATGTGATGCAGGTTTTGTGTTGCTCACGGGTGCATGTGCAAAAGCTGCATAGGATATTTGCTGTGTTTATATGGGGGTCTACTTGGGAAAAATGTAGTAGGACAAATCTGTTCCGAAGAGTAAAACAGGGGGGACTAAGCCTGTCGCATTTGTTCGTGCGACAAATAGTTAATCGTTTTATTTTCTTTCGAGATGTTCAACACCCCTTCTTAAGAACGGTATGCCAGTTAGGCCTTTGTCGTGTTCTGCCTAACTTTGTGGTTAGCACCGCGAGCATTCCGGGTGCCTCGCGAGGTTTCTTTAAAGAAGTTGCGGACAGTGTCCGGTTCTTGTCAGTTTGGTTTTCCAATGAATACCTTTTTCGGTCGGGCGAAAGAAATTGCATAAAGACATATGCGACATGATTTTTCCAGTTCCTATGTATAGGTTAAGTAATAGCAGGGGAGAAGGCAATGATGTTCTTAAGCGCGTTAAGAAATGGCAAATTCAGCCTAGTGCAAAAAGCTTTTTCTTTAAATTACACTCCGGAACACTACTGATTAAGACTTTTTTAGAAGATAGAGGAGTTTATATGCCATGCGGTTCGAACTGTTTGATCTGCTGAAAGCCGGAGACAATAGATCACGTTTTTCTGCATTGTTGGGAAGGGGTTTACTTCTGAGATGTTTTACAGAGAACTCTAAAAAAGGAACTTCCCTTACATTCACTGGGTATCAGGTTTTTCACAGTAGAAAAAGAGGAGGGACTGCCTTTTGATCTTATAATGCTGCTTGGCCTCCATTGTCTATGGCGGGCAAGAATGGCCGGTTACTACTGTGACCCTGACAGGCGTCCGGCCCGTATGCTTTTCCGCGAAACCACAGCTTGCCATACGCAGTGCACACCTACCATATAGTCACCGTGTATATATAGGCACCACATTCTGAACTCCCATGTAGCCCCAATGAAAGCCTTTTTGTTTCTAATAATTAAGCAATAAATACGCATGGCGTAAATATGAACTTACAATGGTCTGATGTAAGCACTTAAGCGCACATGCCCTTTATCTTAATCCTGCCTAATATTAAATATTTTTTTCTATAGCGAAAACGTTTTATCAGTTGACGCTCTGTCGTACAGGCTGAATTTGCATTAGCAATACTGTTTGTGGACCCGTAAAATGCACTGAATCATACACAAAGTGCGCGCGGCCTTGAATGAACACATTAACGAAGCACATTCAGCAGCTCCAGCGATGAACCGAGGTAGACCGCCGCTACCGCGTTCGACGACTAGGCCTCACTCACGAGTACGGCACTGTGATTCGATGAATGACAGCTGGCGATCACAAAATGCTTGCTGATGTGCAGTTTACATCTCGTTGTTTTTCCCATGCACAGAAATGGGTGTCCGCTATCCACGCAGTTTAAGCTACGGAGCGATAGACTTAAACGAATGAGACGGTTCGCAGTCGCTGTTCCCGTTGCTCGCATGCATTGCATGTATAGCTCGCAGAGCTCGCCACGGCGACTGGTGCGCAGTGCGAGCTCGATACAATGCCGGCTTGATACCGACACCATAGCGAGGCCTTCCTACCGCTTAGATGTTGCAGCCGGCGAAATACCGGTTACACTCCGAGAACTCACCATCGGCGGAGACGGGGCAAGCGCGTCGCCGGCGCACCTCTCACACCGGTTGCTGACCGCCTGCCGTGGTCGAGCGAAGCCTACTTCCAACCACTTCGAAGTTTTACGGTGCAATCGCCGACGATCGTACTCCGCCTCGTTCGGCGCTCGCCTTGTAGTTAGTCATTGACAGCTGTGGTCGCAAGGCGCAGAAGACTGTCATACATCCCAGCAGCGTTCATTTTTTAATGAAACACATTCTTTGCCTCGCCGGTGGTCGGTGCTAGCTCGTAGCGCTTGCCGCGGTGGCCGGCGCGCAGTGCGAGCTCGATACGATGCCGGCTTGATACCGACGGCATAGCGAGGCCTTCTTACCACTCAGATGTTACAGCCGGTGAAACACCGGTGACACTACGAGAAGCCACTATCGGCGGAGACGGGGCGAACGCGTCACCGGCGCAACTCTCAGACCGGTTGCCGGCCAGCCTGCCGTAGTCGAGCGAAGCCTACTTCAGACCGCTTTGAGGTTTTTGACGGTGAAACTCCAGGAGCAGCCGCTGACGATCGTAACAGCTTGCTTTTGCTACCATTAATTTATTCTTCAAAGTTTTTTGTTACTTGGCCTTGAAGCGCGGCATTCACGGCGTTTCGTTGAGGAATCGGACCGATGTGCAGCGTGGTTTAACGGTGCGAAATATATTGGAATGTTCGCAGTAAATACCAAGCAGTCGTTGCTATTCTTCGCTGCACTTATAATTTTGTTGCCTGTTGACAGATGTTCACACGGTTAGCCACACAAAGCACATGTGTTTCACACCGACGTGCAAACATATGCCCGTACACACACACACACACACACACACACACACACACACACACACACACACACACACACACACACACACACACACACACACACACACACACACACACACACACACACACACACACACACACACACACACACACACACACACACACACACACACACACACACACACAGGTCACGCCCAAAGAGGGTTTTTAAAGCTCCTATAGGGAGTTTGTAACCACGTGACCTGAAACTCCCAGGGGAGTTTAACAAGGTCATGTCGTTCATAAACGCTGTGATTAAGCAGGGGGCGTTTTACAATGACATGTGCCGAGTTCACTCCCTACCAGGGAGTAAATAAATGGGGGAGGGGAGTTTTGTGTGCCTTTGTGGCCATTACTCTACAGACTGGAGGTTTGCCCGAAACTCCTTAGTTAAAAGTGCGAATCGAAGACCTGGCCGATGTGCGCGTCCACAACAATCGTGCGTGTCGACGTTGTGAGGCCTAGATCATTCGCGGGCGGCCCACCTTTCACAGGAAATATATGGTTGCAAAGACGTGACTCTCATCGATTGGGCAGGCACATGTTATTATAGTGCGAAGACACTGCTTCGAGCTCAAAGGCTCAGAGGCTACGGCGAGCATGTCGGTGCGGGGGTTCCTGTGACTGCGCGTAGTTGCCGCATCTTCCGCGACCACGCGGTTAGCGCATTTTCGTACCTGCGCGCTAGCGTACGTTTATTTGAAACGTCACGGGGTGAAAATCGGCCGTACTGCCTTTAATTCGAACTCCATAACTTGTCAAAAGCATCGCCTTACACTCAAAGAATACTCATGTGCCAACAATACTTTTAGTTCTTCGTTTTTTTCCGCGGGCACTGTGAGAGTGGAATGCTTTACCCGAGATGGTGGTTGCGCAGCCCACTGTCAAACAATTTGTCGAACTGGCTGGCCTAGTGGTTCTGTCAACTACAAGAGAGCAACGCTATCAGGATTTGATCGTTCATTATTTGTCTTTTTCCAGAGTATACTGATCTTTGTGATCTAAAATGGTGGAAGTCATTCCAATTTTGTACCTTGGCGTGCTTGCCTTTCTTTACTCTAACTATCTTTAGGGACGAAGCTCCTTAAGGCGT